AAAAAAAAAAAAAAAAAAAAGAAACCAGGCAATCTGATTCTAGAGTCAATGCTATTGTCATGAGTATTAAAAAGACACCCACCGTGCTGGGGTCCTGGTATCAGGGCTGTCACAGGGTGGAGAAATAAAAATGGGAAGTGACCAGCAGACCACCTGTGAGGTGGCCCCAGCCTGCTTGCAACTGGATACATGCCCCCCATTTACTTGCCCACATAGTGTGTATTTACTGAGTACCCACATGGTGCCTGGATCTGTGCCCTTCAGGATCCCAAAGCCTGCTAGAGACCAATGACAGCAGCATTAGGAGGTGGGCTCGGTGGCTCAGCCTGTAATCCTGTGCTTTGGGAGGCTGAGGTGAGTGGATTGCCTGAGCCCGCGGGTTTGAGACCCACCTGGGCAACTTGGTGAGACCTCATCTCTACAATAAATCAAAAAATTACCCGGGCGTGGTAGCGCACGCCTGTAGTTCCAGCTACTTGGAAGGCTGAGGCGGGAGGATCGCCGGAGCCCAGCAGGTCGAGGCTGCGGTGGCCGGGAGCGGCCACTGTACTCCAGTCTGGGCGACCGAGTGAGACTCCAACTCAAAAAGAAAAAAAAAAAGCAGCACTAGAGTCTAGGCCTGGCTCTACTCCCCTCTACCTCTATCCCAGCATGACCTTGGACAAAGCACTTGCCATCGCTGCATGTCATCTCCACATCTATAAAATTCCCTTCCTACTTCATCCCTACAATTATGACTATGAAAGGGCATGGAGAAGGGTCAGTGCTTGGAGAGGACGGGAGTAGTTAGGATCCTAGAAGGCTCCCTGGGGAAGGTGGGGCTTGAGTGGGAAGAGGCAAGAAGGATTTGGACAGGCAGAGCAGAGGATAGGCCGTGTACTCAGTAGTCAAGGATGTCAGTGCTAGAGAGCTGACCCAGGCTTGGGTTTTAATCTTGGGTCTGCCACCTACTCGCTATGAGACCTTGGTAATGGTTTAGGCTCAGTGAGCTTTGTTTTGAAGCCCTGTAAAATGGAATACCATGCATGACGTACTATGCATCACAGGCCTGTGCTGAGGATGGAAACGGAAAGTCATGCAAGGCAGTTGGCACCATGGTGAGACAAGGTAAATGTTCAGAATACATTAGCTGTTGTTTTGTTTTTTGGGGGGGTTTTTTGAGTTGGAATCTCACTCTGTTTTCCAGGCTGGAGTACCCGCAACTATAGTTGTACGCTTCCATGCCCTGCTAATTACTTATTTTATTTATTTATTTTTTTGAGTTGGAGTCTCACTCTGTCACCCAGACTGGAGTGCAGTGGTGGCTCCCGGCCACTGCAGCCTCAACCGGCTGGGCTCCAGTGATCCTTCCGCCACAGCCTTCCAAGTGGCTGGAACTATAGGCATGCGCCACCACACATAATTTTTTGATTTATTGTGAAGATGAGGTCTCGCCTAGTTGCCCAGGCTGTTCTCGAACCTGTGGGCTCAGGCAATCCTCTCACCTCAGCCTCCCAAAGTGCTGGGATTATAGGCATGAGCCACCATGCCCAGCCTTAATTTTTTATTTATTGTAGAGATGAGGTCTTGCCAAGTTGCCTGGGCTGGTCTCGAAATCATGGGCTAAGGCAATCCACTTGCCTTGACCTCGCAAAGTGCTGGGATTACAGGCTGAGCCACTGATCCCGGCCAGCTATTTTATTATTTATTTATTTATTTATTTTTGAGTCGAAGTCTTACTCTGTCACCCAGGCTGGAGTGCAGTGGCATGCTCATGGCCACTGAAGCCTCGACCTGCTGGGCTCAGGTGATCCTTCTGCATCAGCCTTCCAAGTAACTGGAATTACAGGTGCACGCCACCACATCCAGCTAATTTTTTGATTTATTATAGAGACAAAGTCTTGCCAAGTTGCCCAGGCTGGTCTTGAACCCCTGGGCTCAGACCGTCCATGGTCTCCCAAAGTGCTGGTATTACAGGTGTGAAGCACCACACCTGGCTAGCTGTTATTATACTTATTGTTTATTATTCTTGTTTCCCTAATTCAGTTTAGTTCACAATTAAGAACCTTTGTAACAATAGTCCCCTGACCCATATCACATTTTATAGTGTCTGCAGCAAATCTACACCTAGTTCTCACTGAGTAGTTGCTCATGAGGAGGCTAGGGCAGCTTTTATCCCTACCACAGGTCAGGAAGCTGGGACCCAGTAAGGACTAGTAAATTGCCTGGGGAAAGTACCCAAAGCAAGGACTGCTAACTGTGCATTAGGGAATTCTACCTTTCCTTGTCTTTGTTGGGCAAATACTGACTGAGCCTCTGCTCCATACTGGGCATGGAGACCAGAGATGACTCAGACCTAGGACCTGACCTCCAGGAGCTCATCAGTGAGGTGAGGAGATGGACAGAGGCACAGGATGTCACAGCATTCCTCTTGCTCCTTTGTGCCTGGACCCCAGTTTGTGGCCACCCATTTCTTTATTCACTGATAGCTCTCCCCAGCTAGACCAGAGTCTCCATGAGGCTGGGCCCTGTCTGCCTTACTATCTGTGGTATCCTTTGCCCCTTGTTAGTGCCTAGGACATAGTGCATGTTCAGTAATACAGACTTGGAAAGGGGAAGGAAGGTTGGGTACTGTTGCATGATCATTAACTATGGGCCCAGTGCTGTTCAAAATTTTCCATGCCCCTGTGCTTTTGGGCCTCATAACCTTTTGCATGATCTACGTGTCCTCACCTGCCAGGAGTTGCAAGACATTGGTGAGAGAAGCAAGTTGCAGAACTAAAGGTATGATATGATTCTATTTCTGTAAAAAAAAGAAAGAGAAGGCCAAGCACGATGATTCAAGCCTGTAATCCCAGCACTTTGGGAGGCCAAGGCAAGAGGATTGCCTGAGCCCAGGGATTCGAGACCAGCCTGGGCAACTTGGCAAGATTTCATCTCTACAATAAATAAAAAAATAAGCTGGGCATGGTGGTGTGCACCTGTAGTTCTAGCTATTTGAAAGGCTGAGGCGGAAGGATTATCTAAGCCCAGCAGGTTGAGGCTGCGGTGGCTAGGAGAGTGCCACTACACTCCAGCCTAGGCAACAGAGTGAAACTCCAACTCAAAAAATAATAAAATTTAAAAATAAAAATTATTCCTTTCCCTCCCCCCCCAAAAAAAAGGGAAAGCAAAAGCATGATCCTGGCCCCACTATTCACTAGCTGTGTGACTCGGGTAAGTCAGGATCACCTCCTGGGGTCTCACTTGCTTGTCTGTAACATGGGGTGACAGTGCTCCCCTGTCTTGCAGGGCTACACAAGGTCTTCAGGAGCATAGCTTTGTGGACCCAGGCAGATTAACCTACCTCACCCTGTGTCTTGCCTTCTCTAGGATGAAAGTGTCACTCAGCTTGGTCAGGAGCTGGCGCAGAAGCTTGGGCTGCGAGTTCGCAAGGCATATAAGAGGCCCCAGGCAAGTGGGCTCAGGGCTCTGGGTGGGTGGGTGTGGACATGAGGAGGTCTAAAGGAAGGGACCAGGCATCACGGGGAAGGTGGGTGATGTGGCCAAGGCTGAGTTAGCACAGCAGATGATCTTCCTTCTCTGTCGGCTGAAAGCCCTGGAATGACTACCAGAACCTTTTGGAGTTGGAAAGAACAACCACCACTTCTAACTCACCTTAGACACAACTGTTAAAAACCAGTCCTTCCCCTTCCCTAGCTGACTTTAATTACTCTGGAAGTGGCCTGAATTGACATTGGCGTCCTTCAGCCTTATGTTCTCAATTCACCCCATATGGTGCAAATTTGAAGTGTTGGTATCTGTTTGGCTAGTTCAGATTTGTGTATTTTCATGTGGCACCTACCGAGTGCCAGGATGCTGCACACAGGAAAGCATATGGCTCTAGATTCTTTGTTGTGACTTTGAGCAAATTAGGTCATCTCTCTCCACCTTGATTTCCTCATCTGAAAGATAGGGCTAATTATGCCCACCACAGAGGGCTCATGGGAGGATTTATATGGGAGAATGTTTGAGGTGGCAGCTAGCTCAGTGCCTGACAAACATTAGGAGCATGTATGTGGAGGTTTTCTGGCCAGGTCGAGGTTGGAGGAAGAAGGACACTGGAATCTGACACACAGAGACAGAGCAGGTGATTCCTGGAGGACAGGCCTGGGGACAGGGGACCTTGGAGGGTACTGCAGACCCAGCCACCTGTGTCAGGGCCCACTGCTGCCCTGGCAAATGGGACCCAGAGCATCTTTTCAGAACCTTCATCTCTTCCCACCTCTCTCTAATCTCTGGCAGGAATTGGAAACCTTTTCTCTGCTTAGTAATGGCACTGCGGCTGGCGTGACAGATCAGGTAGGATGGGGCTGGGACCCCGAGCCCCTCCCTACCCCGGGACCAACCAGTCTTGGTTTATGCATGATGAGGGCCTGGGATTCACTTTCTGGAGTGTAAATGCCCTCAGGCAGGGGGTTCAGGGGCATCCAACTGAAGGGTTGGGCTTATGATGTCCTTGTCCCTGTTGCTGTGAGCCAGGCACATGCTCTGGAAGGAGGTGGATGACTGATGGCCTAGGCCTGGGCCAGACTCGTGAGGACAGTGCATGAAGGATCATGATGTACACATAGTACCTTTACCTCCCTAGGAGGTGCCTCCTGTGACCACAAGGCCAGTGTGGGGACAGGTTGTGGTCACTGCAGGGGATCTGTCATAGATAGCCTCATGTGTGGACCTCTAGCCAGGACAAGGTCTGGGCAGCCTGGTCCCGATCGCTTTCTTTTTGCCATCCACTGGCATTGCCTTTTTTCTCACCGGATTTTCTGCAGGCTTAGGCTTCTGGACCTCAGGTGTCTTCCTTCCTCCCCATCCTGCCTTATTACTCTCTTCACTTTTCAAGGCCCAGCTCAAGTACATCTCCCCACTGAGCCCCTTCTTGCTAACCCTGTGCCAGTGACTTTGAGGGGAGGGGTACAAAGGAGGGGAAGGAGAGCTCAGACTTTGGACTCTCACAGAGAAGAGCCCAACTAGGCCCTGTACTGGTCATGACCTTGGATATGTTCCTCATCCATGAGCCTCAGTTTCCTCTGTGAAATGGGGGTGTTCTATCCCTAGGACGAGGGAGGGAAGCACTTTATAACCTGAGAAATGTGAGACCCAGTGGGAGATGTGATGGCCAGTAACTGCTGATAGCTGCAGGGCTATCCTGAGTTGGACTCCCCACCCCCAGGGCCAAGGCCCTTGTGCAACCCAATGAGGCCTGGCTCATCCTGGGGGTGCTGAGGGGGTGTCAGGGCCAGCAAACGCCTCAGCTACACTCACCACATAGGAGCTGCTCAGGTGGACCTTGAGGCTTTTTGGGAAGTGAGGGATGGACTGTAAAAGCACTGATAGAGCCTGGTGTCCTGCCACCTTATTGTACATCAGGGGAAACTGAGGCACAGAGTGGTAAGGAGACTTGGTCAGTGTGCACGGCGAGGCAGCAGCAGGCCTCCCTTCCTCCAGAACTTTATAGCACTTTCATTCACTCAACAAGGAGTCCTATAAAACTCTTTCTTGAGTTACTTGTGTCCTTGCCCTTGGGAACCTCCCAGCCTGCTAGGGAGGCAGATGGGGATCTGCCTTTATAGTGTTTATGGTTTATAACCAGAAATTATTAGACTTGGCACATACTAGGTGCTCCAAAAAAAGGTAGTAAGTGATTGAAGGAATGAACAATCTCAGTTCCATAACAGCCTTTTGTTGGAAGTACTATTTACCCCCTATTACAAAGGAGAAACGGGTACAGAGAGAAGCCTAGGTGATTTGTCTGAATTCACCCAGTAGTGCCAACCACTGAGCCTGGGGTTGGATATTTGGCAAACAAAACAAATCTACCCCCTCCCCTCAAAGAGCTCAGAGTCCAGAGCAGATGGACTTTAGCCTGATCATATTACCACGATGAAAGCTATGAAGGCAGAGTGTAGGGAGCAATGAACCATTGGAACTGGAAGGCTTGGTTTAGACAGGACATCAGAGATGTTTAAGTTGAGACCCAAAGGTTGAGAAGTTAGGCAGGAGCAGGGTGTATGAATGAAACATCCCGGGGGGGGGCAGTATGTGCAAAGGCCCTGAGGCTAGGAGGAGCTCAAAGTATAGGCAGAACCAAGAGTAGGAGAGGCAGCTCTGGTGGGCCTGGAACAGTAGATAGAAGTCAGACCACTGGACTCCTGGTGAAGCCACATCTTCATCAGAAGAGCATTGGGAAGACGTTTGGGGGGGGTAGCATTGATTCTGTGCATTAATTCAGAAGATATTTATTGAGTGCTCCTTATGCCTGTCATTGATCTAGGCACTAAGAATGCAGCCACGAGTGAACTGCTCATCACAGCTAGCAGAGCTGAGACTGGGGGGCACAGCTAATGCTCACATGGTATTTCTAAATGACTGTGGCTAAAGGGCCATAGCAAATATGGGCAGAAGCTGGGTGTGAGGGCTCACACCTGTAATCCCAGCACTTTGGGAGGTGAAGGTGAAAGGATTGCCTGAGTCCAGTAGTTGGAGACCAGCCTGGGCAACTTGGTGAGACTTCATCTCCACAATAAATCAAAAAATTAGCTGGGCATAGTGGTGCACCTTTGGTTCCAGCTGTTGGAAGGCTGAAGCAGAAGGATCACCTGAGCCCAGCAGATCGAGGCTGCGGTGGCTGTGAGCATGCCACTGCTCTCCAGCCTGGGCAACAGAAACTCCAACTCAAAAAAATAACAAAACAAAACAAGTATAGGAAGAATGCCCAGCTCTGCCAGGGCCAAGCTTGCAATGCCCTGCTCAGTCTGTAGCCAGTAGACCACAGATGATGCCATCCCTAGCACTATGTCCCCAAGCCCCATTCCTTCAACTTTGCTGGGGCTCCCACTACATCCACATGGTCACAGTTAGGGTGGGCTGTGAGAGTCCCAAGCAGAGGTGACTCCACAGTGGAGAGGGTCAAGTCAGACTCTGCCTTAGTGCCTAACTGCCCAGCATGGTGCTATATACTTTGGGAAGCTGAGGTGAGTGGATTGCCTGAGCCTATGGGTTTGAGATCAACCTGGACAACTTGGCAAGACCTTGTCTCTACAACAAAATCAAAAATTAGCTGGGCATGGTAGCATGTACTGAAGTTCTGGCTACTTGGAAGGCTGAGGCAGAAGGATCGCCAGAGCCCAGCAGGTTGACACTGGGGTGCCCATGAGCGTGTCATGGCACTCCAGCCTGGGCGACAGAGTGTGACTCCAACCTCAAAAAAAAAAAAAAAACAAAAGAAGTAGGGATTGCCCAAACTGTGCCCACCAGAAGGTTTGAATGACCCAGGAGACTGGCAGAGGCTCTGCAAGACGGTCTGCACAAGAGGTGTCCCCTGGGCAGTGTGGGGAGCAAGACACAAGGAGAGCTGTGAATTCTAGGAACAGAAGCAGCTTTCATTAGAGATGACTTCAGGGAGCCAGGGGAGCAAGATTCAGGCAGGTGGAGAGAAGAGAACAACACTCATGGCCAGGGGACCAGCCTGAGCAAAGGCCTGGCAGCAGGAGAGAGAGAGACATACCCAGGCCACAGGGTCAGTTCCTACCTGTGGGCTCAGAGGAGCCTGGGGCTGTAGCTGGATGTGCTCTGGTTCAGATCCTGAGTGTGTTCCTTAGCTGACCTGGACATGCCACCTCTCAGAACCTTAGCTTCTCCTTTTTTTTTTTTGTCAGAATCTCACTCTGTTGCCCTGACTGGAGTGCAGTGGCACATTCATGGCCACCCCAGCGTCAACCCTCTGGGCTCTGGCAATCCTTCCACCTCAGCCTTCCAACTAGTCAGAACTACAGGTACATTCTACCATGCCCAGCTAACTTTCAATTTTTTTGTAGAGACATGGTCTCACCAAGTTGCTCAGTCTGGTCTCGAATCCATGGGCTCAGGCAATCCACTCACCTCCCAAAGTGCTGGGATTACAGGCTGAGCCACCAAGCCCAGCCAGCTTCTCTATCTTTTAATGGGTGAGCCAGCCCGGCGTGGTGGCTTACTCTATAATCCCAACACTTTGATGAGAGGATTGCCTGAGCCCACGGGTTCGAGACTAGCCTGGGCAACCTGGCAAGACCTCATCTCCACAATAAATACAAAATTAGCTGGGTGTGGTGGTGTGCCAGCCTTCCAGGTAGCTGGAACTACCATACAAAATTAGCAGGTGTGGTAGTTCCAGCTACCTGGAAGGCTGAGGCAGAGGAATCACCTGAGCCCAACAGGTTGAGGCTGCGGTGACCATGAGCAGCATGCCACTGCACTCCAGCCTGGGTGACAGAGTGAGACTCCAGCTCAAAAAAATAATAAAAATAAGAAATAAAAAAGTGAGCCATGATTGTTCCATGGTACTCCAGCCTGGGTGACAGAATGAGACCCTCAAAAAATAAAAATAAAAAGAGTGTTGGTACCTGCCATTTTGTGATAGTTATAGGATTACAATACATGAAAGCCCCCAGCACAGAGCCTGTCAGAGAGATTGTGCTCCATAAACTTTTGTTGCTAAGTGAATGGGCGGTTTTTTGTTTTTTATTTGTTGTATTTTTTGAGGGTCAGTTATCAGGAGGCTGGCCTGGGTGAGCTGGGTGTTTCATTTGCCAACCTCCATATTCTGTTCCCAGAGCACTTGTCTCCTCTTCTGGGCTATGGTGTATCCTTCCTCTGGCCTGAACATCTCTCTTTTTTCTCTGAGTCCTTTACAATCCTGCTTCCCTGGTGAAGCCCTGGACCTGCCTCGTCTGTGTTGCCATAGAGGATGGGGAGGAGGACCAGATCCTCACTGCTAGCCATCCTTTCCCAGGACCAGCAGTCACAGTAACAACAACAAGATGGTGTGAAGTATCTAGTGCCCTGCCTCCTGTTAGGCCCGGGCTAGCACTTCACACCCAGGTGCCCTGTGAGGTGTCATTCCATGGCATGGAGATGTCAGCCCAGAAGGCTGCCATTTGCAGGTCGGAATGGGCTGTAAGACCCAGGAGCCTACCCTGACCCTATCTCTGTGCCTGTGCCCCGATTCTCTCCAAGCACCTCCTTCATCACAGATCAGCTGCTAAACTAAGGCCAGCTAGTCTCACAGCAGGAATATAAAATATTTGAGGGGGAAAAAAAGAGGTATCAGATGAACATCTCTAGGGATAACTGTGACTGTCCATGCCAGGACCAACCTGTGGCTCTCAGGCCACAGAGAACAGTCACTTTCTTAGCCCTCCTCTTTACCACCTTGCCCCAGGCTGTCTAGGCTCATCTCTTCCTGCCCTTTTGCCCGGAATTCCTGCTAGTAATATTCATTTAGTGGCAGGGTGCAGTGGCTTATGCCTGTAATCCCAGCACTTTGGAAGGCCGAGGTATGAGGAGTTTGAGACCAGATTGGGCAACTTGGCAAGACCGTGGTTCCATAAAAAATGAACCAGGCATGGTCATCCATGCATGTGGTTCCAGCTACTTAGAAGGCTGAGGCAAGCCGGACTTGGTGGCTCAGCCTGTAATCCCATGCCTTTGGGAGGCTGAGGTGAATGGATTGCCTGAGCCCGCGGGTTCGAGGCCCGCCTAGGCAGTGAGACCTCAT